TGTCCCCTCTGTCCTTGTTCTTAGGTCTCATGTTGTCATTCTCAATCAAATCAACTCCTTTCCCACAGTTTGCCACAAGTGATGGCATCTCTGCATCCAGCAAAGACTTTGGCCTTGGGGAAGAGCTTCAGCTTCAAGTTTTTTAGGCCTGGGATCATCCCATTTGTTTGATGCCGAAGCAAATTAACAAGAATTAAGAGCCTCATTGCAGTAGTCCTGCTCTGTGGTATACTGAAAGGATAAGCACCTCCAGAAGGTGATTCAGACCTCAGGATAACTTGGGTCTCTGGAGGTACCTGTTGCTTTTATTGGTTCTGCCCAGGGATTCAACGCAGAGTAGTGATGCTACTAAGTTAGGTGACATGACTTAAATAAGCTGTCTGCAGTGAATCCTGACCTCAGACCTTGTGGATTTTGGTGCTTGGATTGTATCTTGCTATTGTATCTTGCTATGTTTTCACACATAATGACAGGCAAAAAAAAAAAAAAAAAAAAAGACGTGGGAAACGGGCATTTCAGGTGACACATTCTGTTGTTCAGTCAGACATCAGTTTTTGTTACTTTGAAATGAGGCGGAACTTTGAATTTCCTCTGTTCGTTGTTCTGATTGACTAGGGAAAAATTACGTGAAACAGCCTTTCCTAAGCGAAGTTGTCTTTTAAACGGTCATTCAAACCTAAGAGGTAAAGATCTCTTTATTAAATTAGTTATTTGTCCTCAGAGGCAAATGTTTGTGTTTGCAGACCACAGAGCTTTCCGAAATAAGGCTAATATTTTTATATTCATACTTCTTACTTTATACAGCAGGACTAAGGTGCTAATATTGACATGTGTTCTCAAAACAAACAAACAAACAAGCAAGCAGCAACCAAGCAAAAAGCCCAGGACATTTATCAACAGCATTAATCCCTTTTTGAAAGCAAATTACTTATGAGCTCAGCTCTTGTCCCAGGAATAAGACAATAATAAAGAGATGTGGAGGGAGTGCCTTATTCATAATCTCCAAAATAAAGGTCGGGTTCAGATGGTCAAAGATAATATAACCCTATGAATTTATATCAAGCTTAATAACATATATCTGTTGGTGTCTGTAGTAGGCTTGGCTGTAAGATTACTGAACAGCTGCCTTCTCTCAAGTCACTTTATTCTGCTCATCTGCATTTCTGCAGTGGTGGGAACCAGTGGTGAGAGGTTGCATTAGAAATGAGCTGTATGGCCCTCTAGCCGTGGAACTTGGTGAATCCACTTCTGCTGCTCACAGGCTGGGATAGGAGATCCGGGCAGTCTTTGTCATGCAAAGGACTTCAGGACAGATGCGTTTGCAACTCCTTTGAGTGCCCAGATGAAAGTCTTGCCCTCTGGTTGCAGGTGGCTCATTCACAGGGGAGCAGCCTTCTGAATGCTGCAGCTAGAGTCTTGGTTTTCCAGCTAGCATTGCCTGATGAGGTATGTGTTCTGTGAATGGTAATGAAGGAAAGACTGATGCTGGGCACCTCTCCTCCCCCATCATATATCATCTTGGCTGGAACAGCAGGAGCTGAGGCACATGCGGTCTGTGTCAACCTAGCCCTGTGCTCTTACCCATCCGCACTGAGGCTGGTTGGGCTCTGCACAGGTGTAGGGATCCTCTTGGATCTGCCTGCAGTCCTTGATGGGGTCTTGTGTATGTATGTAGAGCCGCCAACCTTGCATAGGAGGACTGTAGCTCTCTGTAGCTCTAAAGAGCAGAGTTTCTGTGCTGTTTATGACACCAAGGTTTTTAATGTGTTTTGCAACTATTTTTGGATTTTATCCTTTGAACAACTATGTGGTGGTCAGACCTAACTATAACATGTCCTGTGAATCTTTCAGTCTCTGGGCATGACTCAATGTAGCCACCAAGGGCATGAGAAATTGCATCTAGACTGTGGGCAATGACATCCTGTGTTAACCCAAGGTTTGATTGATTCTAAGACATAGCTTGACATAGAGCTTGGTTTGTTAGTTTCATGGTGGAACAGGTCAAGGTCTGCTAGGGGCAGCTGGAATTGCATTGAGTTGCAAAGGCTGCAGGTAACTTTGTCTCTTAAAGGTATAGCTGCCCACAAGCAGCCTTCCTGCTGCCAGTGCTATCTGATAGCTAGAGCCGAGACTACTCTTAACTGGTATTTATAGCCTATGAACTTTAATTGTGATCTGCTAACACTTGTTAAATGAAGAAGCAAATATAATACTTGCCAAGTTGCCTTTTTCTTCTTTTGCTCTACTTTTATCTCTTTCTTTTGGCCTTGTTAAACAAAATGGTCCTTACCCAATCTGTGTTTTTTTTTCTGTAAAACCCATGAAGTAAGAAGAGGCTCGTGTTTGACAGAGCTTTATTTTTATTCGGTACTGTGTTGGCTCACCAAACTACACACACATGGCCCTTTATGTCCTTATATATAGCTGTGAAGTTATGTTTTGAAGAGTGATTCTTTGGTAGTGCGTCAAAAGCTAGTAATTATGTGTAAAATATGGAAAAGGATGACTGACTATCAGCCACCAAAATAGCTTGGGCTGTTTTTTCTGTGGATAACGTGGCCCTTTTGCAACTTCCTCATTTTAGGTATTTATTACAACAAGACTTTATCTGCCTGGTTTCCTATTTTTAAAGTATTGATATGCAGACCTAAGAGCAGTTCAGTCTTGAGTGATTTGATGTTGTGCTCAGCTTTTCAAAATACAGTGCAGTTAAAGGTGAGATGATATGTCTATATAGGCTCTGATAATACAAGTCTGTATGTATCTCTACATTCATGTAGCGTGCAGTACATATTCATGTGACTTGGTGTGTGCAAATCTCAGACTGTGCTGCTACTACTCAGGAGAACACAAATGTACATGTGGCCTGTATTCATAATTAAAAATTAGAGGCGCTATATTAACTTGCCCTTGTTCCTGGTAAACACTTCCAGTAGCTCTGTGATATCAGAGGTCAGATGTTTCCAGAGGAGAACTACACCAGAGTGCAATCCTAATCACTCTCTGACTTTCTTATGCACTGATTCGAGCTAAACTCGAGTAGCTTCTCCCAGTGTTTTGCGAGACTGCCTGGTGCTGTAAGCCTTAAGTAAGTCTGGATGTATGATTGGTCCCTGGTTTTGAAAGAATGTAATTTGTTGTGAGGAAATCTCATCTGTTAAACATATTTATTTTAATTCCTCAAATTTAAGAGTGAGGGTTTTTTATGTTAAATAAAGTTCTGTTAATTTAAGGAGAGATCCATTACTGTTTTTGTATGAGAGATCTGAGCGTCTACAAATTCTCCCTGCTTTGGCATAACTGAAATGCCACTGAAAGCCAGTTTTAATATTCTTCCTCACTTCATCGGGCTACGAGCTAGATGCTGTCTTACCTGCCCATCTATGAAGCATTAGCTAACAGATTGCCTGCTATTACTAAGCATTTTAACAGCAGAGAGGATATTGCTCTGTGTGGCTGGGAGTAAGCATTAATGCAGATATGCAAAACGTGGCTAAACAATGCCCTTGGGCCTGAGAACTGAGGAGGTGGGTGCTATTTCAGAGGGCAGCAATGAGGAGGTACATATTCCTTATTTCTTTCCGCTCTGCTTGGTTTGGGGTTTGTTTTTTTGTGGGGTTTTTTGGACAAATCTTTGAATCAGAGGGAACATACTCATTTAGCCTTCACCTTTGTATGATTAATCTATATTTTGATGTTGTTGCTGTTTTTTTTTTTTTTCCATTAAATGCAAGGCCAAAAGTGTGTTGCAAAATGATTCACAATATGGACTTGCTCCCCAGAGGAGTTGGGCATGCCTGAAAGGATGAAATTCTCTTTGACAGACCCCTCGCCAAGGGTCTAACAAGATCCTGCCATATTCTTTTTATGGGAGGAAAAGTTTGTGAAATTAAATTTTGCAGCTGCAGCAACTAGCAATGAAAACCAAAGTGGGAGATGAGAATGCCAGAGTCGTAAACCCATCACTTAATGTGCAGTCTCCAAAACATGTTTCTCTGGGAATGAAACTCCTAAGTCGCAGCCTTACTTGTGAAAATTCCTAATGATGGTCTGATTTTTAGAGGAAGGAATCCCTACAGCTCTGTTTGACTTATGGGCAAGAAGGCACTACACCTGAAAATCCTCTTCTCTCAGCTTTCCTTGCACATCCAAGAAATGGAGAAAGTAGCATTTACAACTTCCAGGGAGCTTTATGAGGGGATGTTAATGCAATGGTGTGAATAGGTAAAAGATGGTGCTGTTATTATTAAGAACTTATTGGAACTCCTATGGCAGCTTTCCCACAGCCTTGCTTTAGTTTTGCAAGCTATTTTGGAAGGGCTATCTCTCCTTTAATAGGAGACATATTTTGATAAAAACAAAACAGAAAAAAATGGGTTTCTTTTTTAAATGAAGGACGTCCTCGTTTAATGAGGCTTGAAGTGTTTACAGGTGTTTCCTCATGAGTTCAAATTTAGTGGCCCCAGGGAGTTGAGATTCTCATAAGGCAGGAGAAAACACTCAAGTCTTGTGTTTTAAAAGTGTTAAGCATTTAAAGGGCCAGGCAGACGTGGCGTGTATGCTGAAGTGTATGGAGCCAATAGGTATGCCATCTGAAGCTGTAGAATGCTGTCTTACATAAAACAAGGCCATCTTTAGCTCCACAGGAGGCAAAGTCGCACTAAAAGATGCTTGTTTTTTCTGCTCTACAACCTTTTGACCTAATTTTGCAAAAGTCCAACAAAAGTCCCACGAGTGGCAGGTTCCAGGCTTGATTGTTTGTTTAAATACATTTTGGTGATTATCAAGTGCTCTCTGTGCATAATATCTTCCAGAGCGCTCTGCCCTTGGAGGAACAGTTTAGCGTCATGAAGAACAACATAGACCAAGGGAAAATATAAAAGTGGTTGTGGTTGGAGGATGTGATGACATCACAGAGTTCAGCGGGAACACGAGGCTTTTAAAAAGCTGAAAGAAACATCCTGACAGTCAGTTATCGCGTCCCCCGTAAAGGAGTCAAACACACGTTAGCAATCAAAAAGCCAAACTATCTTCATCAAAGAGAAAAAAGACTCCGTCCTGCCACAGAATATGCACTGGCAAAAATGTAAGTGAGCTCTAATTGCCTTTATTTTTCATAACTGCGATAAATGATGAAGATAGTAATGAATAGTGAGCATTAGCATAGCACGGGAGACAATACTCGTGAAGAGATGCATGGCTCAAGAGAGACAAATACTAAGGCATGATGCTAATTTTCCAGCAGGGATATTAAGATTGGGCGGCATTGCTGCTTTGTTGGCATTCATCACTATGAATCAAGTGGAAGACTATGATTCATAAAAACAATAACAGGATGCAGGTATTATATCAAAGGTTACAGTGGTTACATACCAGAGAATTTTCCTTTTTAAAAGTGAAACCTGTGAGAAATCTTATTTCTGTGTCTTTTTTGATATGTACTTTTTTCAACTAATAAAAAAGATAAAGAAACAAAACAGTTGAGGGCAATACAGTTATGAGTTTACAGGAAATCAGCTTTGTTGTTTTTGAGATAATTTCACTTCTCTTGGCCCACCTTTGCTCAGATAGTTCAGTGATCACTAATACAGGTAGGTGTTTGCTCTGGTTCTTGCAGTTCTTTCATTCTCACCATAGGGATCTGTAGATGATGTTTGTTTTTGCAACTGTGGTCACCTCCTTTGCATTTGACCATATTGTTCAGTTAACTTGGAGTACAATATACCTGAATGGAAGACGCTAATTTCTTAAACGCTTTCCAACAATTTATTTAATATAGGACTAACATTATTCTCCTTTTCCTCTATGTAATAGTTTATAAGTCTTTGTGAGCGTATTAAGAGTTAAGCCTGTTTTATCTATTACACACTCCTGCGTCTTTCAGTTGAAAACTTTGGGGGCTAAAATGTATATTTGTGAAATTATGTTGTGGGCTCTGAAGTCCTGTAGCAAGAAGCTCTGACTGCTTATTTGGCCGCGTTTCAATTTGTCTGACAAGTATTAAGCAGCAAGTGGGAGCACTATGGCAACACACCTTGTTTCCCATTATCTTGAGCTGTTTTCAGAGTCTGTAGGTATATAATGTAGAGCATATTGGAAGATGATTAGATTCAACTGTTATTTTTCCTTCTGGGAAGCCTATGAATCTTTTGATTTTTTTTTTTTTTCTGCAAGGACAAAGGCAGAGCTAACAGCCTGATGCTTTAGGTAGAATCAAATTGGTGGATGAATCGGTATTTTTCCTTTGCATTTTTACTTTGATACATGCAGTGCCCTCAAAGGTGAGCAGGAATTACAAGCCCGCATCAGAAGCGGTCAAAACCTGTATCTTAAAGTCAGGCATCTCCTCAGTGCCATTGCTACTGTCTCTGGTAGTTTCCAGACAGTACAACTCCTGGCCAGTGCCAGCCTGTCCCTCCATCCGCCTTGAGCTTCTCGAGACTAGAATCTCCTGTTACAGCAATGCTTCCTGGCTGTTCTGAAAGCCTGCATGAGACATAGCAACTGCTTTGATTTTGCTTCTCTTGCTGGGGAAGTCTTTTTCACACTAGTCAAATGAAGGAGCCAGTGCAATGGCTGAACTTCTCTCTGTCTCCTGGGCTGGCTGATAGAGCAGCCTAGTATTATGTTTACTAAGACCCAGAGGAAGCTGAGGGGAAATTTCCGTAGGTGACTTGTCTGGCTGACTTTGTGCTTGCTGTTGGTATTTGCTTTCTTTGTCTGCTGTGTCATTGCATGGTTAGAGTTCCTCAATCTTATGGACCTTTGGTTTTTTTGCTGAATATAAATACAGAATTATTTTCCAACATGAAACCTTAATAATCTTATTAACTCTACTTCTTTCCTGTACCATTATAGGAGTGAATTACTTGCTTTGGATTCATATGTAGACAGGATGGCTGTGACTCGGACAGCTTGGGTGCACTTACCTGCTTTACCAGAAACTCACTGTGTGACTTGTAGGTAGGTTGCTTGGGTCAGCACAGTTATTTAGGTGCCAGGTCCCAATAGTTTCAGTGGAAATTAGACTTTTCAGTATCTTTGTGAGTCTCCATTTGGCCTCTCTGGTGCATCTAATACTGTCTGTGTTAGTGTGACCAACTATGGCCTCAAGTTTCCTGCACCATCTGGTTCAAACCACCTGTGACTATGTGGATGCACCAGGGCTCCCAAGAGAGCCGGTTGGCCCGCTCTGGAATGCGAGTTGACAGAAATGCACTATGGGTGGCCAGGAAATTTGGTGTGTGTTTGCCTGAGCCCTAAGCTAATGTGAGAGTATAGAAGTGCTGCTCTGTTCCCCACTGAAGAAATGGGAATAGCTTTCCTTTGCCATGCAGTACAATTAAAAGCCAAATGAGCTGCTCAGATATTCTCGCAAAACAGCACCCTGGATAGATGGATAATAAATCTGTGCCATCTTTGGAGGCATGGGTGAAGCTTTCCCCAGGTATGGGGCAAGGTATCTTGCTGTTATTGTAGGAACAGTTGGGTCTAGCCCTGGCAAGGGCAGCGGTGTTGTTTTGTCCCCCTGTGGTACTGTGCTGCCACACAGCTGGGTAAATGGGACCTAGGCTGACAGCTGGCCATAAACTCCTAAGAAAGGATGTCAGGGTTTGAGAGTTCTCACCCTACAGGTGGCTGGCTTCCCTGGGTACTAAGCTGTTTTATCTTGGAGTAACCAGGATAGGGATGCACAGAGCCATGTATCGGTGCACATCTAAAGGAGACCTTTATCCCGCTTGGAATCTGTCACAGGTAGGAGGAATGCTGGAATAACTGATCCAGAAGGAAGATAAAGGGAGGCAGGAATTGAAGTGCCAGTGAAAGCCACCTGGAATCAGGCACTTAATTTCCTAAGGCTTTTTTTTTGCACATCCCGACACATAGCCCTGGTTCCTGAAGGAGAATGGGTTCAAAAACAAGGTCCTTATGAAACCCAGCTTTAAACGTTTAAGCACTAGGTTGATGACTAGAGAATGTGGACGTGGTTAGGTTATGTGCCATTCTGTTGCTGGAGGAAGCAAAAGGCGTGCTGGATGCTAAGGTGTTCCTGCCTTACCAGTACCGAGTTGGTTATCTGACTGGAGCTCTGTTTGTGATTCAGGTCAAGGTAAGTGCCAGCTGGAATGCAAAGGCAGAGGTTTTTGCTCCATCTGTATCTCCGTGGAGGGAGACTATATGGGAATCTTGGCAACGTCTTCCATAAGGAAGCCTTGATTTGGATTAAAAGCGCTTTTTAGTAAAATAGGTTTCAAAATGAATGGTATAATTTCCATGCTTTTTCCCAGACGTTTAAAACAAACAAACAAGCAAACAAAAGCCCTGAAACTGAAAACGACAGAGTGGCACAAGACATCACATCTAAGTAAGAGTCACCTCATGGGAGTGCATTTCTCATGGACACCTTTTGAAGGGCAAGTTCCCGCTTCTTCAGGGACCCTTCTGTGGGAAGCCCTGCAGGAACAGAAGGGAAACTAACAGGCCTTGTCTTCACCTGCTACGGCGAGAAGCCCTTGTCCGCCAGCAGGTCTCGCATGGCTGACCCTGCGTGCTGGAAATCGTTCCCTCAGAGTCACGGCACGCTGCACTTCTTTGTAGGAGTGGGGCCCAGGGCTTCCGCTCAGCAAAACCCCAGAGAGCGTCTCAGCCTGAAAGCACCCCCTCCCACGGCAGAACCGAAGTGACTGGTAGGGGGTTCCCAGCTTTCGGCAGGATTCTGCTGAGTGGAAGCAGGCTCACTCTGCAGCCCGCCAGCCTTTCCGAGCCGGGAAATTTCTGATGCGCAGCACCAGCTACTTTTCTGTTCTGTACAGATAGTAACTTCATGTTATATTTTGAAGACAAAATGAACATACCTTTTATGCAAATGATTTCTGCTATGAGATGGTATACAGACAGGTTGAAATTCTGCAAGAGTTTCAGATTTAGGTGATGTCTTTGGCTAAGTCAAAATGCTTTGGGAACTCAACTCCTATTGCAGCCCAATGGGACTTGAGCACACAGTCAGACTTTTCAGCTGTTCTGATGCTTAGCTTCCCGTGCAACTGAGATGTGAATTTGCACCTTTGAAAACTTTTTCCCAAATGTTTATTTTAAATGCATAAAGCCTTTTCTGCACACAACAGATGTGGAGTTCTGTACAGCCTTTCTGAAAGTATCAGATAATGAGACCGAGAGCTGAAACTGCATCTTGTGGGTCTTAATTTTGGTAAACCCCACTGGGAAAGATGGATAGTATGAAAGTTGAGCCCATCCATGCTTTACAAAGCAGGTGTCAGGCTGTACAAATGACCACGAGCTATTAAATGGAAAGCTTGCATTACTAAAATGGAAAGAGTATTATGGTCTGGGAGGAATTAAGATGTGCGGGTGAGATTTATGGTTAAGATACTTTCTGTCTATCTCAGCTTCCCCTTAGTAATAGGAGTTCTCTTGTTCTGAAACTGAAAATTTTTTACTAGCCCCTCACCACTATGTGGCCAACGCAGCCAACTCATGTTGGGCACTTGGAAGCTCTTTTTTCCGTTAGGTGAACTGAAGCTGCAGGGATTTGTAGCCAGCCTTTCATGCTGTTTCTCAAGTCTCTTCAAATCTCTTCTTGATTTTTTTTAGTCTATCCAGGTGGAAAAAATACGAAATTAAGATTTTGTTTGCAATCTGCCACTCCTCCCTTTTATCTGAATGTAATGTAGGTTCAGCATGGTGCTCTCCAGTCTTTCACTCCTTTAGGTCATCTGGAGGTGTGAAGATGACTTCTTTCTTTTTCTTTTCTTTTCTTATAGAAGAGTGGGCAAAAGCACACTGTACTCAAAGAATGATACAGACAGGAGACAACGGCACTGGGACCTGCTAGCATTCAAGGCTAATTTCTCTTCTTATCGACCTTCCAACTGCAGATAAACAATTAAAGCTACTGGACATAATTCTGAAATAGCTTACACTGCTGTCACATTAATGCTGTTTCACTGACTTCAGTAGTTATATTGCTGTTTAGGAGAGCAGAATGAAACCTAGCCAAATGCTGTGCTGAGTTGTTGGTAAGCAGGAGAAATATTTAGTCTATTGATTTAATTATGCTCAGAACCC